ATTCTACAGAAATGGCTCTATGTTTGGAGTTCTCTGACCATACATAAAAGGCTAAACCATACCTACTGGGAACATTTTTTTGCACAGGACATAGGTCTGGGGGGGAAAAAAAAAAAACACGCTATATATTCAAAGCTCTCAGCTACAGATATATAAAATCCACAGCACCCCCGCCCTCCCCCCTTGCCTCTGCCTAGTCAAGGAAGTTAACAAGCTGTCAGAAATTTTGTTCCTGCAGTTAAATATCACAGAACCCATACCAGGATATTCTCAGAATCATTACTAGAATCTACTCCATCAGCAGATTTAATACAGGCTGATATGTTGAATTTGAAAAGTATGAGAAGTCATTTCCAAATAAATAAAAGACATTTATTTTGGTCCTCTTTAGAGCCACATTCAAATAGTCTTTCTGGAAGTCCTGAAACATTTGGTAGGAGGGCTGTTTTTCTATTTCCATTTTTCTAATTGGACAGGAAATGAACTATCTTTCTAGCCTGGCTGCCAGTGGAGGAGATGAAAAACAAGCTGACACCTTCTAATTAGTCTAGAAGGTTTGCATGCTGGAAGTCTAAACATTAGAGATCTTACAAATTTAAGCCAAAGAGCTGAAGTACTCTTCAGTATTCCAATTTGTGTGAAGTTCATCTGCTAATGTGTTTTCCTCTTCTAGTTACACGGACTGATACTTATTCTTCTCCACAACGTTTGCCTGCTGTAGTTACTAATTAGGTTTGCACAAGAACAAAGAGGCAGATGTTAGGGCATAAGAGAAGCTGAGCCACACTCCTTGTAAATCAACCTCTCTATTTCCAGATTACATTAGCTAATGGTGGCAGCACCTTCACCTTCAAAAGCTGATTGCTCTTTTAAACAATTCCAAGAAAAATGGGAGTGGGGGGAAAGGCTGGGAAAGAGAAAGGCAAGCTACACAAGGAGAATTTTAATAGCTTCCTGTCAGTTACTGCTGTCTGCACTAGACTTTCGTTTTTGGCATGCTGCCTCGGATGGGAGCATCAGCCTCAGAAATTCACCAGGAGACAGAGTAATGTACGTGACAGTGTCTGCACATGCCATGGAGAGATGCTTGAAGCAAGGCACAAACCTCAGTTTTGAGGGAGAACGTGGAATTACAGAAAAGGTGTGGTATTCGATAGCCTATATTTTGCATAACTGATAGCACAAAATCACAAGTGGACGGGACAGAAGTTTCCACTTTTCAGGTAGAGTTAGAAACCTGATTCCCTCAATACATTGGGGAACCACACAGATTGGTTTCACTGTGTATCCTGAATATATAACTATAAAGAACTTGTATAATCCTAACTGCATCTGCAACTTACTGTTTCCTTAAATGAATATAGGTAAAAGCTGAATCCTGGCTTGGGTCTCAGCTAGCCAAACATGAGATGAACCAAGGAGGTCAAACTACAAAAAAAAAAGAAAAAAAAAAAATCTGCATCACGAGTGGAGTAAGGGCCAGTTGTCATGTTATAATAAATGCTACACTATGGTAAGATAGGTTAAAAATGCTATAATAAAATACATCCTTAAAATTTGATTGTTTATTTAAATACCTCTCCAGGAGGTGAGAAATTACACCATGGGTTCTTCTCTTTCTTGAGCCTCTATCTAAAACCTCAAAGCACTTTCTAAAAAAGAATTAGTGACTGAGACTAAGGAATCAGATGCACTCGGAGAAATGAGTAGAGTTGAAATCCATGTCTCTCTGAACTGCTTGGATCCAGGCTTCTTGAAGTAAATTCCAAGATACCCACCCAAGTTTATCCTGAATGCCCTGTTCTTTTATGTAACTTCATAATGCCTCACCTTCCACAATTTATTCTCAGCTGTCTCACCCTGACCTCCTTGAATCCACTGTGAGCTGCCCTAGGGCATCTCAATTAATTTGGAGCTGCCTTAATTTTCCCACTTTAGCAGGGAAGCAAACCAGTTTGCTAAGAGACAATTCCAGTCAATTCAGACTTATTCCCGCTGTCTAAGCTAACGCACTTGGGTAATAATAGCACTTAAATAGCAATGATGGATGCAATTTCTTTTTTGAGGTCATAGTTCATCTCCCTCCCCCAGCTCCAGTGCTAGTCTGCTTTTTCTTGACCTACCTCAGATCAGCCCTCCTGAAATACCTACCGTTCACCTGATTAGTTCTGAGCTGCCATCCCCAATTTCTCACTTCCCAGACCAACTCAAACCCAGCCCATGCTACTCCCAAGTTACCTGATGTCTCCTTATTGCTCAAAGATGTCCCAAAGTATCATGGCTTGCTTTGATCCATTCCAAGATCCCCAGAATCATCTTTAGCTGAGCTGAGCCACTTCAGCATTAGATAGGTCTTTTCTGCAGGAAAGAAAGTATATAACAGAATACAAAAATTGAGATGCCAGTCATGTCAAGGTTCTGGAACAAAATCTGCAGTTCCATTTCTATCCACCCTTCCTAATCCGCTGCAGTGCCATGTATCTCCAACTGCCAGCTTTGAGACAGTGAGTCATAGGAGAAGTGCAATTTGTCAAGACTTGACACAGGCCTTGGCTCAGCTGGTCATATCACTAAAAGGATTTTGCGTCTGATTAATTTCAGTAGAGGTCTCTGAGCAGAATGAAGGAAGCTGCTGCCCTGTATGTTTCCGACTAATACAATTTCTCAGAAGGTGCCTGGGGATCCATCAACAATCCTAATTAAATGCAACCAAATGGATGATAGCTAATCATTAAGGGAGTGGCTCTCTCTGGACAAGGGGTGATGAGCAGGCTTGGCAGGATGGTAAGGGGCAGATGGCTGCCTGTCTACCATAGCACTGTTTAAACAGCACTGTCCCTGATGGCTGTTTTCCAATTCAATTTATCTTGTTCCCAGCCCTCCAGTTATTTGTTCTTCCACCATCCATTTTTCCCAAGTCAGTTAAAACTGCCTTCTATCAAGGTGAGAGAGGAGCATTTTTGCTGTCATTCTGCAGCTGCTACACTTTGCAGACCATTTCCAAGGAAAAAAATCTCATTCTCCTTTCCCTCCAAACACATACAGCCACTTGGTACTTGGCTCTTAAAATGCATCACTCTACTTACCATCATAGAGGATCCAGAGATCTTAATTCAGTTTGAAAATTACTTCAGTGACACAAATAAGAAAAGGCAATTGCATTTTTTTCAGTTCTAGAAATTATCAATGTTAGGTATCAATAAAACAGTATTTTTCAGTGAGGTTATTTCGTTCTTAGAAATTTGTTCTTGTTCTAGAAGTTGGAAATACAGATTACCAGTTCAGCATATAAAATATCATTTTTTTTAAACTGAAAACAGGCAGCACCTGCTATCCTGGTTTTGGCAGAAGAAGGGTAACTTTAGCCTGTCCGATGCAATGAACTGGACTGTTATTTTTAACCTTCAGCTGGGCATTTGTTTCCTCTCTCTCACCTCTGAGAGGGCATAAACTTATCCTATAGCTTGCCAAGTCAGTTCTCTGAGACACATCATCCATAGAAGATAGCACTGTTTCATGTAAGCAGCTACAAGGAGGAGATATCTATTTTTAGAACATTAATGCTAGTGAATAAAGCTGTCTTGACAGCTTTGAAATCGTTCCTCTAGTCACACAGAAAAAAGGCAAAATGTGTGACAAGCAGTGGTGTAGTGACTCACCCTGCTTTGCAGAGGCCAAGTATAGAGTTTAAGCTGATAAAGAGGTTCTTACGCTGTAATCTTTGACATCTTTGCTAAAACACCTGATTAGTCTCAGTTGTGTTTTTGTGAGTTTGGGCACCCCCACAGTAAGAACTGCATCAAGAAAAATGCTGTTTGCACTGTTCAGTCCGAGTATCTCTTAAGCCTTCCAGCAGTCACAACATGAGTGACGATATTCAGCCACTATCTAGCTGGTCTGGATTTAAAACCGTGAAGTGAGAAATCCACTGCTAGCAATCAAGAACTTGTACAGTCAGAAACCTTTCTGCAAAATATTAATAGTTGTTGCAGTCACCTTCCTCCTTGTCTGCATTCACATATTTGCATTAATAGAAAAACAACTAAATTATTAAATTATCATAAATTTAATTCACTTTGGCTAAGGTTGGCAATATTCTTTGCACATTATATAGTAATCCTTTCAAATGTCTAATTCTGTAAATTAATCTCAAACTCTTTATTCCTGATAGCAGAAGAAGTCAATCTTGAAGTCACCCATTCTCAGAAAGAAAGCTTTGACAAGATGCAAAGAAAGAGGAAAACTGGAGGAAAAAAGAGAGAGAGGGAGAGAGAGAAGAAATTCTATAAAAACATATCTGAGATTATCAAACAGTTAAAAATATTGCACCTATCGGGTAGCGTTTGCAGAGTGGTGGATATTCTTATTCCAGAACTGCTGAATACTACAAGCACAGTGGACAGCATTGAAACGCATATGCTCTTCAATGGTACGAGACCCAGTTTTTCCTCCTCCTCACCCTCCAAAAAAGCAGGAGAGAGGTGAAAGTGAAACCCTGGTAGAAGAACAGCCATTATTCAACATTTTGGAGCCCTTGCTATCCAGAAAAGTGGATGCTGTGAAGGTCATTCAGCAGCATGGAACAAAACAGCAACCACAGCTCTTCATCCAACTGTAGAGGGCTCCCACTTCTCCTGCCTCTTCCAGGTTTTCCTAGCAGCTAGGCAAGTTATTCAGTCCAAGCTCTAGAAGAAGAATTTTAGCTTTAATACATGCGCACCATGTACAATAGATGAAACAGATTTAACATACTTAACCTATGCACTCTTTATAATTCATGGACACATTGTGTCATACAGGAGCAGATAAAGCTAGTATGATGATCTGTTACTACAGAACACTTCCTCATCCCCAATACAGATACAAGAGAAACAAGGCTTGGGTGAACGTCATGGCTGTAAAGAGCAGCAGCTGATACTCATAACCTTTTAGGAAGTCCACCACCTGTAGGACTTAAATTAAAAAAAAAAAAGATTAAATCTTCTAGGAAGATACTAAGAACTCAGAGAAAGGTACTGAAATTGGTTTATGACTCCTACGTACAAACTAGAAGTTGTATTTTGAGAACTTTGAACAAAAAACAAATACTTGTGATAAAGCTATTTTCATATCTATGCTACTTTCAGTGTTAAGAAAGCATATGGCAATCGGAAATACTCACCTTCAGCAACAGTCATTAAGTTCGAAGCAAGAGCCGTCTACGGCATAGCACTCCTCTCATGCTCATTTTGCCACGCAGACAAGCAAAGTAAGGCTTTAGGACATCACTAATCAAAAAATTTATAAACAGGTACTATGATACACATGCTTACTATTGGTACTTCCTTCTCTTATTCCTGCAAGGACAATACATTAACAGTAGCATATCTAATTTTGATAACAGCAGACTAACTACAACAAATACCTGGACTTGGCTATAAAACTCCCAGTTCTAGTTAAATTATAGGATAAAACAGAAAAAGCAGAATGTGTTACAACGTGTTGTAACGTGTAACGTTGTAACAAAAAGCAAGACCAGAATTTCTCTTCCTGACTATCCTACCAAAAACCTCTGTAAGATATGCTAATAGGATACAGCTAATTAGAAGGAGCACGCAGACAAAGGAAACAATGATTTTCTGTAAAGAAACATGAAACAAAGAGAAATGAAATAAACGAGGGCATTAATTCAAACAATTTATTTAAATCTTATTTAGCTGTTCAGTAGAAGTTCATATTCAAAACTAAAGCAGCCTTAACTTGTTTTACTTCTCAAGCACACTATGGCCACTTCAGTCCTGAATTTGTCCCCCATCTATAATCTTAATCTGATTTGAGTAATCCACTTAAAAATTAATTCAGATATATTCACTTAAGTATCTCTGTATAGGTAAGCCCTGAGTAACTGAAAGAAGGATTGTAAACTGGTGAACGTGTTTTTGCTGAAGAATCACTTGTTACTAATATTATTATAAAAGAGATACACAAAAGCCAGTTTATCCTTACTCTATATAAAAAGAATCAGGTGAAATCAATGTACAGTTTATATATTTTCCACACCTACAACAATCCAGTGATAGCTGTGAGTTCAAAGTCGCCTCTGTCAAAGTGCCTAGCTATTAACACTGCAATATTGTCTATCACCTGAGAGGCAAACACTGAGATGGGTATCATTACCTATAGTAATACCATACTTATACTACTCTGAATGGGAAGTTGAAGAAAAAGTGAGATTAAGTGATTTGTCCACGGTTAAGCATCGGATTAATGGCTTAATTAGGGACAGAATATAGATTCCTGTTCCTCTTACTCCTATTCCTAACCTTTACCAATAGATTTCAGGCTTCCCTTAGCAGATGCCTAACTGGCTTACAAAAAGAAATTGCCATGAGAGGGGAGTACAAGACTCTAGACTTTCTTGACCAACATTCTATCCTAGGCATGGATAAACTCTGGCTATTTAGTCAGCAGTTATTTCTGAAGAGGGAGGAGAAATGGAGAAATTAAAATAACATTATACCCATTAGAAATATCATTGCAGTGCAGCCATATTTGCCCACGCTTTTAAATCAATCATGCTAAGTGAATCAGTCCTCCTCCAATGTAGTATCAATCATTTCAAAAAAGTACCCAACACGGCAGGGAACAGTGAATTTCATTTTTGTTTGTAAGAGATAAAGGCTGTGCAATAAAAATGATGTACACATCACCACTTACTTTTAGGAACTCTAGCCCCAGATCAGGACCATACTGTGCTAAGATACTGAAAAAAAAAAAACCAAACTCAGTGCTTCTGGTTCTGATCATCCACCTCAGCACAGAAAGACCACAAGGTTTGAAACCAAAGTGCAGAGACAACTGGACAGGCACCACAGTTAAAATATATTTGGCTTGGAGGAAAGCTGCAGACACCGGAAAAGAACAAACCAAAGGCCTCTGAATCCTTAGCATTAAGGAGAGAACAAGAAATTGGGATTTCAGACTTGATGGAAACTTGAAAGAACTAAAGCATACCAATTCTATTCAGGTTCTACCAAACACCAGGTAATTAATATACTTTTTATTTTAAAATACTTGGTTGAAAGGTGGGAATTAAATAACCTTTGGTCCCATCCATATGTGTCACCTGCAAAGTTAGCAAAAGAAGAAAATTAAGCAGAGAGTAACTAACTCACTCAAAGCCATTCAGTTACTCTGAAAAGCAAGAATAAGCACATTTACTTGAGGAGAATAGATTTTATTGCTGGTATTTCATAAGGCACAACTGCTTTCCACAGACATTAGTCTTTTGTAATTCCTTCACTGAAAAAGTTATTTATTACTAGCAGCTAAAAATATATCTTAATGAGGAGAATAAGTGATTGGTAAAATATTTATAAAAACAGCAATGTATATTTTAGAAATAAAAAATCCCTGCAGTGAAATAACCTAGGCTATTTGAGCAGAACCTGAAAACACGTTCATCTGAAGTCACATAAGCCACAGGGAAGTATATACCAAATGCACAAGGACAGTAAATTCTTCTTTTGCCTCAGATGTTGACATCTGCTCAGCAGTATGAAGCTACTCCTGACCTGCAGTGAATAACATCTGCACAGCTGAAATCCAATCACAACAGAGACTACTCATTTCATGCACCAGAAAAATAGTCTCTGAAATAGTTTTTGTTCTATTTCAAGGCAAATATTTGGAGTGAGGTAAGAATTCTTACCCTCACAATTTTCAAGTCAAACTTTTCCAAAGATCAGTGTTGCCTGGTCCTCTTGAGAAAAATCTCGTGCATGTAATCCCAAAATCTTCCCTGGTGCGACTCATTGCGATGAATCATAGCAGTGAGAGCTTCACCCTGATCAAGACTTTGCCAATAATCCTGCAGCCACATCTCTTTCCAACTGAAACAAAACAAACAAAAAGACACCACCATAAACCATTAAAAAAAAAAAAAACACATGGTTCTGCAGCTGTAACAATACTAAAACCATTTTTTTCTTTCACCTCAGAGGTGAAGAGGCCCAGGGAAGCTCATGACAAACTATGATATTATTGTGCCATTGTGCTCCAAGTGCGTTTAAAGAAATCTGCTACATAAATTCGCTCTGGAGAACAACCTCACTGTTGGCTTTAGAACTTTTCTGAGATTTCAGCATGTGACTGTAGCGTTAGCCATATTATAAACTGTAAAGAATAAAAACTTCTATTAAAATAAAACCTAGCACAGAATCTTTAATAGATTTTGGGAGTGACTTTCCACGGCCAGTATGTTTACAACTATGGTTAAGACTGAGAAACAGTTTTTTTTCAGACAAACCATTTAACAATAAAGAGACTGACAGCTAGTCATTACAAAATCAGGTTATACATGACAGAGAGAAAAGGCTTTATCCCTCAACCCTGACTACATACTCAGTCTTCAGATTACATGGCTGAGTGTACGCTTTTTCTTTTTCAATGCATACATTTTAAAACTTTTCATAGCACAGATTACCTTATAACATCTTTGAGTAACTCCCTTCCCATACGTGGTCATGTGAACTACTCTCATTTATGTTACATGAGAGTATGGCAATAATTTATTTAGCTAATAATTAACACCTCCTCATGATAGACCTGATTATTCCTAACATTACCTTTTGTTCTTTACTGTATCTGCCACCCATACACATAAGACTATCATACATTTTGGCAAGAAGGACCAAACTTGGTGCTGTTTCTCATCTGCCCATATGAGTTACCCAATAGTTGTTAACTTAGCTACATAGCTATTAACTTCTTCTCCCTTCCAAATACAGAAACGAGTACGGTGCCTCCTGCTTTCACTCTAGACACCATATACTAAAGCAGGCATGGCTGCACTGCCCAAACCTCAGGAGACCTCAGCCCACTACTCCAGGAAACCCAAAAGAACATGCACACAATCACAGTCACGTTCTTTGTGGAGTAGCATACAGTTCATAGGGCATGGAAATTAGTTTTCTGTTGTCAACAGTATCATCTAGGTGGAACATTTCTGCAAAGTACATCAGAGACCTCACAATAAACCTTTTTACATAGATCACAACGTGAAGGATCACGGGCAGAGGCCATTTTCAGCATACAAAAATATATCTGCCTAAAGTGTTCTTTGTGAAAAATACAGCACTCGGATGTACTGTGAGATCACTTTGCCTACCAGGTAAATTAACCTTTGTTCAAGGACCGCCGACATGAATTAGCCTTTTTTTTTTTTTTTTTTAAAACAGCGCTTAAAGGGCAAATGTCACAAAAGTGAACACACTCGTGTAAGTACTATACACAAAGTGGTGGGAAATAACAGAAAAAAAGAAACGTTCTGCAGCTGAATTATTTGAAAATGATACTGAAAGGAATTCCAGTATCCAAGTGAACATCAACAAAATAAAAATTAAGAACACTTCAGCATTTTTCTTTTTATATTGACATTACTCTTTAAGAAATAACTTTTGCTCTGATTCTATAGCACCTCTGGGAAAAAAAGGGTACCCCAGGATGAACCGGCCTATACAAATATCCTGAAACCATCAGCTATGTAAAATAACAACATTATCACCATGAGATAACCATCTATCTTTAATCCTGCTGATTACTGGAATCCACTGCAAGAGGCATCTTACACTACCTACACTATAGATGTGGAAAATCTGATACACTTCCAAACTGTTCTTCTATCATCCGACAGAGATCAGCATAAAATAGAACTCGCATAGTCACCATAGTTCCAAAATCTTCCTTTTCCAAACACACTTTTGGCCTTTCACAATTACCCAGCTCAAGAAGCACCGCAGATTCCAGGTTCTACTAAGCAGACGTTCTGAACAAGAGTAGCACTGCAGCTCACTGCATCTTCTCTACAAAGCAGCTAAGAATTCAACCAATTATAGTGACTGACCCATAATCTAATACAAATGGTTACTCTACACTTCTGTTCTTAAACTACAGACCACAACCCACTTGTGCACCAAGCTCAGAAGTCCAAACAAGTGAGGCTGCAAGCATAAGGGTTTGGAACCATGTTTAGGAACATTGTCTTAGAGCTGAAGAACAGGAAGGTGGGAGGGGAATAACATGTTCAAGCGACATACACTTATATGGAGAAAGATTCTGAGGCAACAGTTCTGTCAGCCCAGCACATTTGTCCACACTAAACACAAATTTCATCTGTGAATAAGGGTTACAGAGCATGAAAAGGCATGGTGTAGCCATATTGTAATTGGGTACCAGCTCTAAAAATATATAAACTCCAAATGCCTTTGCTGTTCACTTTGTGCTCCAGAATCCTGCAGAATTCAAAGTCACAATCTATGTTTTCAGTCAGACTATATGAGCTGCATTTATTCCATAACTTGCACCCTTACTAGGCCTGTGTTGTTTCTCTGTGATTAGTATTTTGTAAAGAAACAAAACACAAGATTGACAGGCTCAGTAGGCATTTACCCAAATCAACCATGCTGTTCTTATAACATTACTGTCAAACTCTGGCAAAAGATAAGCATGTTTATGCAATTACAGAACAATCAAGCTAAGCTTACACTTTTGTGGCAATTGTATCTTTCTGTCATTTACAACTCTTAGCATTCCAATTTGGAGACAAAAATGGTGAAAGCTCAGATGCTTGCAAGATAGAGAACACTGCACTTCACTGGATCCTCTTAATCATACCTTGGAATATAGATACATGTTATCTTTCTAAAGCAGGTGGCAGACAACGGAAAAGCTTGCATGCTACAATATCTCCAGACACATCTCATCTCCCTAAACA